TCCTTAAATCCAGGGACGGATCCAGGAATTTTTTATCGAGAGGGGAAGAGTCAAGACTTTGATCCAGAAAGCACAGATATTTTTCGTTGCACTTAGGCCTAAATACGCCGAGAACTATCTTAAGACAAGTAGATTTTACATACTTTACATTAGGTAGTATAACAGAATATCTTTTCGTTGCAAGAATATTGGTGTCAAATAAAGAAAGATGTGAAAGGGGGGAGGGGCATCAAGACGAACCGAACCCTCCCCTCTTGATCTGCCTCTGTATTGGGCGTCTTCATGTGGTTACAAAGGGTTCAGTCACGGCAAGCGTGATCGTCACGAACCAATGAGATTTAAAGAAATCAAACTTGACGTCTGTCAATTGCCGGGGAACCCGAGGGAGTCAAGTATAATTCTCGATTTATGTCTAAGCTCTCTGCGCCAGTCGGAACACGAACGCGAAGTAATAGAGAGAGAATTTGCATTTTAAGGTGACTACACTTTTAATCAGCAAGAGTTACGAGTTTGTCTCATTGGCCTAGTAAAGATAATAAATGAACTAACCTGATCTTTACGGAATTGATCTCCACCAAAAGCGGCAAGACAAGGCTTGATGTTACCACAAGCAATAGCCATGGCGAACAATGAAATTAAAGGTCCCACTCTAAAAAAAGGAAAAAAAAAAAAGAGAATAAAAATATGGAAGGACAAATAGGTGTGCAAAGGCAACATGAAGCAAATTAAAACGAAAGGAAGAAAAAAAATAGCGCCAAACTGATCGAAAAATTAGCGAAATGGAGAAGCTGAAGGAGATCAAGTGAGTATATATATGTTGTATCTTGAGGGTACTTACGAATTCCGCTGACCAATAGTGTCAACACTTGTCAATGTGAGAAGGATCTCCGAAATGGAATACAGGAACAGTGTGTAGGCGATGGTTCTATAGAAAAAACAAAAACAAACAAACACAAACAAACAACTTTCGATTGTGTGATTAGCCTCAGAGTTTGCTTAAAAAGTAGACTTCATCATCCGCATGAACCTTTAGAGTTAAGCTGAACCGAGTAAAACGATTTCTTTTGCACCCACCGATATTTTCCAAGCCAGCTGTCTGCTATCATGGCGCCGATAACTCCCGTAAAGTAACTTGTCATACTAAATGCATGATAAATGCTCTTGCCATTGGCCTTATTGAACATGAGGTCTTTAGTCAAATACAACACAAGTACCGCTGTAAAGGAAATTGTTAAACGATTAACAATGCAAGGTACCTGTGTATACTATACGCGGTTAGTTAAACTTGTATATTTCGTCTATGCGGTAACAGGTTACTTACTTTTGATGCCATAATACGAAAAACGCTCCCCAAATTCTGTCAAGAGAATGGGCCAAGTTGCTTTTGGAAAGCTGATGAACCAGTTCTATAGGGAAACAGAAAGGGATGAGCGACTGGTTAAACGCTGATCAAAAGTGTGCGATTCTCTCGCTGACTGAGATCTAACTGCGATATGGCATTATAAGGGAGGAAAAACTCGGATGGAAAGTTAAGAAAATTTAAGAACAAAAATCATACCTTTGCTTTGGTGCAGCAATTGCCAGCATGTTCAGCATCTTCTTCAGCTAAAAAATGGAAGGGAGGAATGTCAATGGTTGCATGTGGATATGATCTAATGCGCTAATGCGCTATGACAAGCTCCTGATTGTTGCAACAAGAGCGGCGAGGCCCGCACGCAAAGCGAGCGCGCGAAACGCGCGCTTCGAAACGCGGTTCGTGGTTCGAAACGCACGGGCATCGCCGCTCGGTTTGGAACGATGCTTGCACGTCTTCATCGAAAAATTCTCAAAAAATCTGAGTGCAACAAATACAAGTCTTGTCCTGATAAGGAGCTCAAAGTGGAAGGTCCTTTCTTAGTCGTCTTCCGGAGCGATAAATGTTACCAATCAGAGCAGGAGAAATAGGAACGAAGTTTATTCTTGAACCTCCTAATAAGATAATCTTGTGTACCTTGCAAGCTCTTAGAAGCTTTTGGAAGGGATGGTGGAATTTCTCTGTCGCCAGAGTGTCTATTCTTTTTCTACAAAAGTAGATTTTGACCTTATCCACTTCTGTCAGTGAAAAAGTTACTAATCTTACTAAAAAAAATCAGGTTACAAAGATGAAGGTGGTAAAGCGTAACGCCTGACGGTAATTCAAGACTGGTATGTCTCCATTTTTCTGGTGCTTTTTGAAAGTACGTCCTGTATGATTGCCCCCCGAAGAGTTATTTTTGATCTAAAGGTAAACTAGAAAAAAAGAGGTTTCGTATTCACTTTCTTGTAACCCACTGGCAACCACATGAAACTGAGATCTAAAACATGTTTGTGCAATGATATGTCACAGATAAGCTGGTTAAAAATGTCGCACAATTACATATTATTAGCCAATATGTTGTGCCACCCGGTACCGGGACGGAAACAATCACTGCCTGTTTGTTTACTTGCAAGCAACCTGAAGTTTACCAGACCGAAGAGAAAATACAGCGATAAGAGCGTTGAAATCGTCACAAAAGAGAAAACAAACTGATGGCACTTTTCAGTTTTTAAGAGATTCTAAGGTCAACTCGTATTTTGACTTGGCTTTTAGGTCTTTGACAAAGTTTCAATATTATACAAGCTAACGTATACAGTAAAACATATATCCGGTAAAACTATTTAGAATCGACAGCTCACAAACTTTAGAAAATAACTTTTTTCCCTTTAGACCTGGTGCCAAATCAATCAGCAGCTATTTCATTCAAGACTAAAGCAAACGATATTTTATTGTGAACTTGAGAGATAAAATTTGAGTATCCCGTCCGACATTTTGACCCCTATAATGACAAGGTTGCTAGGCATTCAAACTGAAATGAACAACCTTTAAGTTAAATTACCGGAACAGACTTGGGTGGTGAAAATCGCACAGCAGTTTAGTTCGTGTCGAAAACATGGTATCTAGTGTAAAAGTAAAAAGAATCCGGGCTGTATTTCGTCTGCATAGAAATGTCGTATTGACATTTGACACGGCCAAAAACACCTACAGCTGCTGCAAAATCGAGGACAACACACACATGTGAATGATCAAGAAAGCACTGAATTGCGGAATCTTTCCAGGAAGATTGTCACTCTGTTCTTAGTAATACCAACACCAGCCCGTCCTGAGTGCGCAAGCTGTACACTTAATTTTATGTACAAACATTTAGTAATAGGCTACGGCAAACACGGCGTTTGATTAAGTTCAGGGTCCAATTACAACTTAAAAAAAGTACTTCATTTCTCTGTCGTCAAACAACAAAGACGAAAGTAAGAGCGCTGCTGAAATATTCACATTCAAATCAGTTAAGATGAGATTTAAGTTAAAAATTCTAAAAGGGTACCGCCAAGATAAAGAATTGTTAACAACCGTTCTGCGTCCAATTTGGGGGACGATCCCTGGTGCTTCCAAACAATAATGGCGAGGGTAACCTTAATGTTCAACTTACTTGCAGGCTCATATTTGATTTTGCTCTCTGTCCTGTCACGTATTCCAGCCATCACTTGCTGATTTCAGACAAGAAATCACAAATTCTTTGAGGGAATCTTTTAATTTCTGTCTTTGCCCGTGTGAAAGGAATGTCAGGCAAGAAGCTAGGTCTCAGGTTTCCAGAAGGTAACAATTGCTGTTAAAGTGACAGCTAATTGACCAATCATGTAACTGTACCTACAGTCAATCATTTCCAATCAGACAGTCTTTGTTAAGAAACTCATTTGAAAAACCTCACTACCTGCTCACCGCCGATACATTTCCACTGTATATGAATTTGCCTTGACAAAATTTGCTCGAAATACCATACGAAATTCTTAATTGAGACTTGATCAACCAGTTATCAATAATTGTCATTTCCAGCTTACGATAAGTAAACTATATTTGTTTATCAACGGTACAACGATTATTAATCATTACATAATTCTAATCTCAGCAGGCATGGGTAAGTGGACAGGTTTGTAAACCATGGGAAGAGAGGGAAGAGGCGAGGTTGCTGATGCGTTACAAGGCTTGCACCGGGTGTCAATTTTCCTTTGTCCTTTTAAATTGTTTGTTCACTTGTTAAAACAATTTGGTTCATAGCAGAGAAAAAATTTGAAAATCCAACAACCACTACGTCAATACAATTTGCGACTTGAAGTTGCAAATAACGCGCTAGGGAGATCGTGCTTTCATTGTTCTACAACCCTAAGTTCTCATTATGAGGTATATCTATTAAAATTGGTATTACTACGCAGAAAAAATATGGTTTCTGAAGGTGATTTCGACTGCTAACTTCATCTGGGCGACTAACTGCAACAGATGAATAAATAATTGTTCCGCTTGGTCATATTAAAATATCTGACCAAAGTGAAATACATCATAAATACATCATCAAATACATCAAAAATCGGAACATAACAAAACAACCGATGCAGGTAATTTGTACAAATAAGTTGCTCGATACGATTTACACACAGCCATTACTTGAGGTAGGCCTTGCGAGTTTTTGCTATATCAAAGTGTTCAGTACGCGCAAAATCGTCGAAGTCTCACAAGTGACGAAGGAGCAGAAAAAAAAACAAATCGTTTGGAAATGTTCAAGTTCATTTTCAATCTTTCTCCTCCATACCTGATTTATTCCAAGGTCCCGATGGAAGAAAGGTTACAGAACCATGTTCCTCTTCTGAACTGGCAGAACTTCTTCGATTTGAACTAGTTCTAAGAAATGAGAGAGCGCTGCGCTTAAAATCAGATTTTGGCATCGTTTAAAGCTACTCAGTCACTGCTCCGGGTGTTTTAAACTGTTCTCAAGCATATCGAACCTAGAAAGACTGACCGTTCACCAACCAATGATAGTCTTCAAGACAGCCAGCACGTCACTCCACGTCAACGTAACAAAGACACTCTAAATGGAAAAGTGAGAGTTGTTTGCATTTACGCAGGATGTTACGAATTACGGTAAGTTGTATATACTCAAACAAGACTCGGTAAATCGGTTTAACTTTTTGTATTTATTGCGATTTAAAGCTTCTAGAGGTCTCATAAGGACAAAATTCAATAAGAGACGGTATGAGAACTGTAGAATTTAATTCTACAACGGAGGCAGAATCCTACTTAAGATCAGATGAAATACCAACTTCGTCTTGTAAGTTATACTTAGAGATTGTGGAAGTTTCATATTATATTTACTATCTCTCTGCGATGTAGAAATATACAGAACAATTTTTAAATAAATTTTACTTTTGCTTGTTACGATCGCAGCAAACATTGAAATGTTCCTAGACTCTCGGTGCAATCGATGCCGAGCCGTCCTCCTCTTGGATTGCACCTTCGGTGCATAGACCACTCAGCGCACGCTGAATGGCAAGTGTACAAAAGGAAGGAAAGGGGAGGGGAGGGCGGGGAGTTAATGTTGGCACAAGTCGCGATCGTTTGACCTGCCTCTTTTCAATGAGAGTAATAACAATAATAATTATTATTATTATAATAACAATGCATTTAATATTCCAAATGAGTGCAAGACGATTGAAGAGGACAGCCCAGCAACTTTAGCATTTAAGAAATGAACGGTTCACAGGGCATAACCGGATAGTTTTAAGCCAAGATAATCTTCAGTAAGTTCTAATTCATTACTGCATACTTTGTCCTCAACAGATGTTACACCGACCCTGTACATTCACTGGCTGCTAATGCCACCAAATGAAAAGGGTGATTTCAGGACGGAACAGTAAACCAGAAGGAGAATGGTTCCAAGTATTCACGTGACAGTCAGGTGATTGTCACGTGTTTGCCGCACCCTTATCATAATCGGCAATAAGTCTCTTAATATAGGATAGTTTTTTGTGCAGCTCTTGACACCTATTCGTAGTTGGAAGCCATCTGGGATCCTAGAAATGAAACACACTGTCAGTTCCGGTGTCTAACGCTTGCCTGGATAGCGATGAGCGAAGACCTGTTCTATACGCGGCCTTGGGGAATTTGCTCACGTGACAAACAAATATGGTACAAAAAATTACTTTGACAAACGATGTTGCTTAACCAATTGCAAAAATATTTTCATAGTTACAGCTTTCAAAAAATAAAATGACAGCCACTGCTTGTTAAGTTGTAAGCCATACATCCTTTTATGGGGGTGTTCTTCTCCTGATGTGACAAACACATAGTATAAAAAACTATTTTAACAAACAACGTTGCTTAACCAATTTTCGCAAATAATGTCATAGTTACAGCTTTCAAAAAATTAAATGATAGCCACTGCTTGTTAAGTTGTAAGCCATAGATCTCACCTTTATCATCTCATGGTAATGTTCACGAATTTCTTTGTCTAAGTCCTGCGAAGAGAGAGAGAGAGAGAGAGAGAGAGATTAAAGAAAGCCGTAATTAAAAAATCTCAAAAAAGTCAAACAGACTCTAAAATTTTCTCAATACGCTTACACTCAAAACTTCAAGAAGGAGCAAATTCTAACCCGAGGGAAATTTTGAAACCCACCCGTTGCCGTTTTAGACTGAACGAAATCTTGTGCAGCTCCAAACACCACGCAATTTCCGCGCGGCCGTTACACAACTGGAGAATAGTGTGGCAAATAGTCGCGGTTCCTTTTAATTCTATTAACATAAACACGAGCCACACACTAACCTCTCTTTCCGCTGTTCCCTCAGGAAACTGGAGTCTTTTGCTTTGGAGATCATGGATTTTCTTTTTCATTGAGTCTACCTTCGCTTTCAAAGACTCGTATTCTGGCAATTCTGCATTAAAATCTTTCTTGTACAAACAGCGTTGTTCATAAGTGGTGATTGGTTTGTATTTTCTGAAAAAAAAAAAAAAAGAAGCTAGTTAGCTTCGAAAAAAAAAACTGTTTGGCTCGACATAAAAACCAAAAGTAAAACGTTTTCACATTGGACTGTGTCCTTAAATACTCTAGCTTTGTGACAAAAAGTAACTAATATATGTGTATTTAACAGTAGGAATCTGATAAAAATTGGGCCAGTTTTTGTGGAAGGAAAGTGGGCTCGTTTCTCGGACAGCGGCTGGTTATCAGGCCGACGTAAATGTACATGACGGATGCAAAGGTTAATCTTTGCCCTTGATCAAAAGAATGTCTTCGTCAAGTGTTTTCATTTACGATAATACATATAGTTATTAATCCAAAAACAAAACAAAAATAAAACTAAACCAGAACACTTAAGATAACTTACTTGGTAAAGTCAGAAGAATCTAAGCCATTTAAACCATTTAGTGAGTTTTCTATAACAAAAGGAAACAATCACGTTCAAACAGGTTTAAAACAAAGTGAAGTCTCGTTTATCATGAATATTATAGGGGCCTTTAGAGACTAGTTAAGGACATCTAACGTAGAATATATAGAAACATTAATGCTTTCACTCCACGAATGTAGACGCGGGAGACGACTGTAATGGAACTGTTGCTAGCTGGTTCTGGTCGGCAATTTTTCACTAAACGCTATACGACAGAAGCTATTGAGCAAGCACCGCCGAGGAAAAGAACTTATTTTATTGCCACTAAACTATTCCGATGAATCCTCGAGGTAGAAAGACTTACGCTGGCGTGTTTCCCGCAGAAATGTCTAGGCCTCACCAAAACGTGCACATTGGAGGAACAACTAATTTCTTTAACGTAAAACATAGATTAAACTGAGTCTGCTTTTCTTCAAAACGTACGGCTGATGTTCTTCGTAAATCCACGTGAAGAAACCTCTGGTTAAAAGTCTCATTCACTTTTTACTGCTCAATATTCGATTGGAATTGTAATGTAGTTGAGTTCAGTAAGGGCCCTCAGGACTCCCAGCCAGCGGAAACCTCTCTAAAAGAGCATTTTGTGACAGCATTCATGTATATACCTGCAGAAATTGATTCTTCTTCTTCGTCATTTTCGTCTTTTTTGTCCAACACAGACTCTTCCACTCGCTCTCTTTCCTTTTCCTCTGGCAATTTAGATTTTTCCACCTGAAAGGTGTCTTTCTCTAGAGAGTCTTTGACGATATTATTGTTGTTTTTAATATGAGAAATGCGTTGTCTCTTGGCTGAGTGTTCTGCTTCACTTTGTCGGTGCCTTTTACTTTGTGGTTTGCTTGTCTGCCAAAAAGTTTCAACAAAACATTACATCTCACTAATTGCTACTCTGGAATCTCAATGGCTGATGCAAGAGCATTAACGGTCTATCACGCGAGGCTTTTTTATCTATCAACGGAAAAATCACACCGTGAACTGAACGAAAATATGTGGTAAATGGACGTGTTTAACTGTTTATCGTGTACATGCGCTATGAACCATTGTCAAATACCTCCGAGTTCTTTGTCTTTGGTGGAGAAGAGGAGGTTACAACAGAGCTATTATTCAGTTCAGTTTTAATTTTTCTGCAAAATCAAATCAAATAATCAGCAGACTGTGACGATTCAGACAGACAAAACAAAGCAAAACAAATCATTTTCACTTGAAAAAGGTCGGTCTTCTAACTCAAAAAGAAAGCATGTCGAGTGTTTTAAAACTCCGCTCACCTGCGTAGAATCTGCTTTTCAGTTTCACTATAACTAGGCCACGTTTCAACCTGAAAAACGAATGTCAATCAATACGTGTCTACGAACATTACCAAACAAGAGCTAAGAAGCCCTTTAATAGGTTTATGGACGTTTCACCCTGTTGTAAGTTCGCCCTGTGAAGAAAAAGACGTTCGTTCACACCCTTATTAGTTCACACCAAAATGTTTCAACTTCCTTCCTTACTGCACAACGTATTCCTTTTCAGCCGAAATCATTTTTTATTCTTATCAATATGCAATTTCAAAGTGAAACCACAACAAAGTTTGTTCAAGATGCAAATTCTTAGTCGTGTTAACTGCTTATTTACTCTTCCGGCAAAGCACCTAACTGTCCTTAAATTTTAAAACTTAAAACAACCCACGCATGACGTCTGATCCAGTGTGAGCAACCGACAAAAATGTACATGTACAAGAATCATCATGTATTAAATCCTTCTACCTGAAAGAAAATCTCCTATTTAAATGTTTGGATGAATTTGCACAGGAAAATATCGCTTAAGAGCACAGCCCAAATTCGTTAATTTTAACCATTCCTCATTGTAAATGCAGCCTTGAGTGAATATAATTTGCAAAATTTGCATAAGAGCATTGATATACCACCCGTCATAGGACAAACAAAAATTTTCTTAGTACCTGAACTTCAGAATACAAATGTTTTAATAATCTGTATTGATTGTCAGTCATAACAGCAACCTGTAAAGAGCACAAGAAAAGGCACTGTTATTAACAAATTCACTGCTCTTTAAATTAATCAGAGTTATTGAGTATGACTTCATATGAATTAAACAACACAATGTAGATTGTACGTCACATTTTTTCAAAGAGAATGAAATAAAAATTTCAATTAGAGATGAAACTGAACTAAAACATCCATCAAGCGCTTAACCCATTATCATTTAATAAGTATAACTTACCCATATGGCTAAATATTTGATAAGGTATCATAAATTCAGAATGATGAATGACCAAATAAATTTTTAACATAGCAATGGAAAGGGGAAATTGCTTTTCTGAGGGTAAGAATGTAATAAAATCATTGTCATAATGCTTCAACAATATGTATGAACACTGGTTCCATTAATGCAATCTATTTACCTGTTGTAATATGCCTGTTAATGAATTTCTGTCTTTTAAATTCACTCCCTCTGTAAAATAGTAAAGGCAATTTTGTCAAACTAAACAAAAACAATCAACTTGAATTACATGAAAATTTTTAACAAAACCAAAATTGCAATTTGTTTTCCTAGCAGACAGCAGTTCAAAGCTACTGTAGATATTGCTTCAAAATCTAGATGATGATTAATGTTTACATTGTCCATGGCCAATAATTACTAGAAGTCCACAAATGGATTAATTTTTTTTTAATTCCATTCTTCTCAAGTGAAAATTGAGAACCTTGTCATCAAGCTCTACTAACCTTTAGTAAGTCTAGATATCAATTCTGGTTTCTTGTAAGGTCTAACTGCTAATAAATGAATCACTCTCTCCCTGTTAACAAAAAAGGACAAGATCAGGGTTTTCATCCAAAGATGTAGAATGATATGGTGCTAAGTACAAAGAGAAGGAACTACAGAACATTCAAAACCTACATCAAATATTTATGCTGTCTAATAACCATTCTGTCACAGCATTTCTTTCTTTGCCAAATACAACTCCCAGTAGATTTTACAAGTATATGACAAAAAGTATTGTTTGCCTCAGGACTGCAATCTCAACTTCTATTGCTATGCATGCTTTGGCTTCACATGAGTTCCTCATAACACACTGGTTAATTTTCTCCCTAGTTAATTACAGAAATATCTTGTAGAGCTGGGTACAATGTAAGAACAACACTGGAAAGTTGGACATCATAAAGGCTACAAAAGGAATATTTTGTAAATCACACATTTATTAACCCTTAAAACCCTAGAAGCCATCAGAATTTCATTTCTCCTCACATTAATACTATTGAATCACTCATTGAGATCATGAGAAAAGGAGGAAATGATCTCCAACCTAAGAAGCTTTGTTAAACAAATTCTCCTGGTCCATACCAAAGGAAATGTATAGAAAAGAGTAACAAGAATATGGATACTGATATTAAGGCATAAAGGATTATGCAATTCCCCTAATTAAAGATAAATTAGTTAACTCAAAGGTGCACATTCTGACTAACATACAACAAATTTCAGGAACATTATGTAGTTAGTTTCCAAACTCAGAAATCATTTATTTAAAATAACATTTTTTGTTATCTGTATAAACATATACTGTACCTTAGGGTTTTACTGGGTCCACTTGAAACCTTTGCTCCTGGACCAGATTTAATTTGTCTTTTCATGGCAGCCATTACATTGTTTGTTTGCTTATAACCCTTGAAAACCTTTCTACTTCCTGGAAATGACATTAGAGTCATATTAATATACACATTGTAATTACATGACTACATAACATGTGAAGATGGCTCCTTAAGGTGTGCAGTACCTTGTAAAATGTTTCATGATAAGGAAACAAGAATATTTATTTCAACATCTCACCTTTCTTTGGTGTATTGATTACTTTTGTGCTACAAAAGAAAGACAAGGCCAAGAATTGTTGCCAATGATATCATTTTTTAAGATTCCTTTTAACAGGCACTTACAAATACAGTATATTAAATACCCATTTATCTCATTGCTTGGGATGAGATTAACTATAGGTGAATGCAAGGACTTGTTTGAAATGACCTCAACTTTGGAAGGGAAATCACAGCCCTGATACCTTTGCATTCCAAAAAATTATGAAAAATAAACCTATCCTATCTATTTTGCAGGTTATAGACCTCTAGCTATGCTTTATGAACTAAAAAGCCCTATTACCCACAGACAATCTGAGATTTTCATAGTCCTATGAAAACCAAAGAGACAAATAATTTCACCTACATCTAAGAATTTAAATGAACCCTTTAATTTCCAGAAGTGTTTAACATGCAACTTCAGGAAGTAGTAACCAAGAGACATTTCCTGTGTACATATCATGCAGTAAGCAAGGAGGAGAGGGTTGGGATCAAAGTGCCAGATAGTTTCAATTGATAGCTGTTTATTTGCATGTTTGTTTTTCTTTCAAGCTACAGCTAGCTTAGAAACTGGCATTCCACAAATTTAGGTATAAACCCTTAAACTCCCTAAGTGACCAAAACAGAATTACTCCTCACAATATCAATACAATATCAAGAAGACAAGTTATGAGAATTAATAAAAATATCAATAAGGGATTATTACTTGATCCAATATCAACTTCTCTGAACTAACATCATAAGAATTGTACAGAAGACAGTATAAAGAATCACTAGAGATTACAAAAGAACTGAAAGAAGCTCCAAATTTGAAGCACCCTGAGTCAGATGGGGCCTGGAATAAGCCACAAATAAAATGAATTCACTTCCCTACCTTATTCCTTTCCTTTCTTCTTCAGCTTCTTTCATTCTTTGCTGCGTCATCTGGTAACTATCATCTGTAGCTCTGACAGTAATTTTGTGGGTAACTGCTCCCAGGGTTCTGATGTCACTACTTCCTCCAGACTGTTGGATACAATCCATTCCACCCTGCTGTCCAGCAGACAAGATTGCTGAGCAATCCAGCTGAAACTCTGCTGTGTTTTCATCTCCTGAATCAGCCTTGCCAAGCGGAATCAATATTGACTGAAGAAGGCAAAAATACATTAGATAATAAAAATTACTTTCTTTTAGTTTGGCAATTAAAAGCCAATTGATAAAACAAGTCATTAATTTAAAGTTCACCCAGAAGTTGCAAAACTAAATTACAAGTCAGAAAAACAGGTTCCCATGGAGAGAGTTCTATAGAGTTTAAATGCCAGTGGTGTCTTTCTTAAAAACACAACAAGCATGATGACTCCAGAGTAAACCCGTCAATTGAAGCTGTTATAAATGAATGCCCTGGAAAATTGTATCCAACCATACCAGCATGACTTCTCACCCCTCGACTCATTTCTGGATTTTGGTCAGTTTCTCTTTCTGTCCAGGCCTGAAGACTAACTCAAGATCTGATGGAGTGATTCCCTCCGGGTCCAATACAGTCATTTACAATTTTGTCTTTAATTCATTTGAAGAAAACGCTTATGAAACAATTTATAGACACAGACTTGCTATTTATAGTAATAGACTTTGTCAGTCACCTTACATGTGTTGAATACAGCTGTAGGATATCAAAAATACACTGCAATATTCTAATAGCCCAGCTTCATATCATATCATTACCATAAAAAAAAATGATACCTTGGAGCTCGCTAAAACCTAAAAGTATACAGAACACTTTTTGAAGCAAATCAAATATATTTTTAACAGCCAGCCCTGTAATAATAAACTTTGCTTATTAAATTTAAGCAAAAGCTATAAGAAAAATACATTTGAATTGATGATCAAAAAAGCACTGAATTTTGTTCATTCGAAGATAATTGAAGAGGATGTAAGTTTCCCAGGCTCTCGGTGATTATAGAATTTTTGGTGTCGAAAAATATAAAAATAATAACAATAATAACATAGGGTTGATTTAAACAATTTTTGACACGAACACTCTTCCCTCTGTGTGGTCCAAAAGTTCAGTGAGAATACAAGTTGGTTCGTGTTCACTTTAGGTACATATCCATGCAGTTAAACATTGTTTTCTGTTTTACATTCACGTTAAACGAACAAAAAGATCTCAGAGATACTCAAAGCCTTTCAACAAACAATAACCCATATAATTTGCCTTGGGGAAGATTTACGCTTAAAATAAACTTCTGACTTAGAAACAGGACGTAGGATTCTACAGTGTAAGAATCTATAAATACAGATTCTACAATCGATCGATGGTTCGGACTGCAAACATATAAACTTTCAAGGGCAGGCGGCTGTGTATACATTCTCGAGTACAGCAGGTTTTCACTGTGTCTGAATTAACATCTGCTACTATGATTTATTCATTCTCGAGCTGACTAACTCATAATTATGACCGAAGATGATCAGGAAAAACAGAATTAAACACAGATGACGAGAATGAGTGAATAAAAAAAACATCGCGAGATTTAAGGCCAGAAACTTACCCCCTGATATCCTGAAAATTTTATACTTGGCTTTCTTCTTGGGGACACCTATTAGACGATAAATATGACCAAAAATTGAATAAAATCAGGGAACACTAGAGAAAGAAACAGCACAGAGTCAATGCCTTGCGTTCATCATATCGCAAACAACTGATAAAAAATAAGTCGCGCTGGCAAGATACTAGACGACTATACCTCGGCCAATTGATAGTCTTCTAACGCTCGTAGACAAGAGTCCGTCAATTTCACGTGCATTAGAAGCTTGTTATTGCTTGATTCTGCTCGGGATATAAGGTTGTAAGAAGACTTCGGCTCCAGAACAATGGCCATGGCATTTTCTTTCCGAGAAACCCAACAAACTCCCACTTCATTGGCGAGCAACATCCGCTAAGAATATTTTATTGCGCCTGTCTAATATATACCACAGATCCACAGATCTAAACAATTCTATTTGACCAAATATGGAGTACCGGAAGTTTAAACGAACTCGATGGAACGCATCGAGATGAGGCTACAGCACGTGCTTCCGCCACAGTCGAGAGTATTGGGTACCAGACTAGGAACCAGGACCAAGCGCAATTTTAAGTTGGAATGCGGATGAATCCCCGAGTTATTGTTATGACCCAAAATTCACTCTTTTTATCCCTCACTTTATCACTCCACCTTTACTCTTGCTAACTTTTTGGTATATCCGCTAAGTAGCGCCTAAAACTTGCGCGTATACTTGATATTCCCGGCGACAAATGGGTTTCGAACACACGCCCCCCTATAAGAATTCCGTGAGCATAGTTCAGGCCATCAGTATAAGCGGGACGAGTGGGACGAGTCCAGTGAAAGCGAGAGATAATTGAGAATGCATTGAGGAGAGTGTTAGAGCTTGGAAGGACAGTTCCTTGTTCCCAGATACCGCTGGGTTTAAGTTGGCTCGCCCGTATTTGAGCGTGGTCTAGTCTGGGCCAGACGTAGCTGTAGGTGAGCGGAAATTAGCGAGAAAAAAGATTCACGAGAAGCGGCGGGGTCAAGCAAAAAAGGGGAAACTACAGCCGTTACCTTGACAACCATCATGACCGCGGTTTGTCGTTCGCGCGCTCTTAAGCTCGTATTTACTGACTAAGGGTCTGGAACTGGATTTTTTCCAACCACTCACCCGGGTTCAATGGACAAACAGCCTTCCTACGAGTAGTTTTTATCTATATACTGTTGATGTGATGCTTCAGAAAATCAATCAAATTTTTTTTTCATTTAAGAAAGGTCTCACCAAAGTTTTGTTCTAGATCATATCGCTTAACCCTTTAACTCCCACATCAAATTTGTAATTCTCCTTACTATCAACCATACAATTCTTATAATGTTAGTTCAGAGAGTTAAGTATTGGATCAACTTATTATCCCCAAATTGATATTTTTCTTTATTCTCATCACTCATCTGGTTGATGTTGTAAGGAGAAATTCTGTCTTGGTCACTTATGGGAGTTAAAGGGTTAAAGAGAAAAATGTTATTTTCGAATTATAAACTTAAGGAGAAGAAATCATTAACCTCCATGCTAAGAGCTCTGCAAAAACCGCCAATGCACGAGGAAATCAATGGGTTTAAAGTTGCGAATGACTATGAAAACGACAGTCGAACAGATTTTGCATAGGAAACAGAGGGTCGTATTCTACTGGTTGTCTGCTGCGATTATCGTAGGACATATGCTCAGAGAAACTCAGACAAACGAAGTGATTGGCTTTATTTTTGGAGGAAGGCACTAAAGAACAAGGGCTTGGTAAGTATTGTCTATTTTCGAACACCTGACAGAGCTGTAATCTCTCCACAAAGCTAGGCGGTAGATGAAGGAGAAAAGAAAACTACTTTTAAACGAACATGTAAACGTAGGATTACTAGCTAGTGAAATTTTTATTTTAGTGGAAAGCAAGCCGACATTGCTTTGTCTTCACTGGGGTCTTTGAGTAGTCAATCTCTCAACCAATCAAATGCAAGCTAAAATCAAGTGACTTGGTCACGCGCGTTGCCCGCGCTTCAGGCAGTTTGCGTGTTTTTACTCTAAGTTCTCCTTTCAAGAAGTTCTGTTAAATAATGTAATTCATTTACCAAGGTCGGTCAGGTCTTCCCACTGGTCCAAAGCGTCTATAGTCTGGACCAAAAATGAATGAAATCAAAAGGTCAGCCACAGTTACTCATGCGAGAGCAGAAGCGGTGAGGAAAAAGTGGAAAGAAAAGTAACAGACGCGGACAAAAACTTTACAGTAAGTACACCATATGCATGTACTTCTCTGAAGTGAAATTAAAATCAAATGGGTCAAACATAAGAAACAACGTTTGGTTATCTAAAAGTATATGGTATACACAAAATCAGTGAAGGATATGCGACGAATAATGTACACAGAAACAACTAAGACGGCGTGGCAACAATACTACTGGTGTCAATACCAACCTTAAGAAGGACAACAGCATTTCGAAAAATCAAAAGCGGAGGAGCCACGGGAGCTTTGGACAAGAAATCACTTATTGACGTGTTTGGTGATGCTAAAAGTTTTGTGTGCAGACATAATTCCTACACAAAAACAACAGTGATACAATTGAAGCTCCACCTAACACTACTTCTCTTCTTCCAAATGGAACTTTGGGTGATGACCTAAAAAGATAAACATAAAAATTTCCCTCAAGACATTGGCAAATGCTTCAGTGAAGACTGCCTTCACTCTTAAATTTACTTGGAGAAAGGTTAAAGCTGCAGAGTTCAGAATGCCTTTCCACCCTAACGTCAGTATACATATTTTCCATAGTGTTCTCTAAGTGTAGATTTCTCAAGGTGCTGTAAGGAGAACTTGTTTAACAGTCAAGAGCTTCTTGAGTTGGTGATCATTTTATTTATTCTCATAAGTCTAATGTGTGATGTTTCAGGAATGATATTGTGAGGAGAAATTGGATTCTAGTCACCCTTAGAAGTAGATTAGGGTTAACATGACATGATACCAACACCTTTCCCAAATCTCATCAACCCTCTACAAGCTTATTATACTCTCTAAATCCATTTTCAGTTGATCTATCAACAAGCTAGATGAATAAATGCAGGGAAATTCAACACCTGGGGTACACAATAGCTTGTGAAGCAAACTAATCAGAATCATACTTTTAATTGTCGTACTCACAAAGATGGTACAAGAATTTGGACAACATTGTTGTGTTCCCATTTCTTGGCCCAATCTATTGCAGTCTTGGGGGAGAGAAATTGTGGACATAAATTTTTTGCATGATTTATCTCAGCAACAAGACCTTGGACACATTTGATGGTATAGGGTATAGAAAAAAAATTTTCCCCACCATTCATTCTTGGTTCCTTAATGCAAGGATTGTTTCCTAAACTTAGCAAACATTGAAGTAGTATTTAGAAAGCTAGTGTGAGGGTTTGATCATTGTTACAATATACCCTGCTTCCAGTGGATGTGATTGACTTTTAATACCGATTTATCTAGGGTCTTGTGATTAGAATATAGTGCATTTCAAACTACACTCTGCAGTGTGTGCATCTTCATACAATTGTGGTATCCAAATATTAAAAAAAAGGGAAAGCATACGGCTGCTTTGGCTGAGTGCTTTTATTTGTTTCAAGATGTTTGGATACAACAATCAAGCCCAAAGCACAAGTTTTTTAGATTGCTTCTCAAACTGCCTTTATTAATTATCACCTAAATCATAACACTATTGTTACATTCTTTTCATTGGTTAAATAATTTTGGACATCATTATCAGCTACCTGATTCATCTGTTGTCTCTGTTTGGGTTTCTTTGGGGAATTCAAAGTGTATGCTGAATTTATGGTAGTGTTGCACTCATTTAGTTTAAAGCTCTGTGGTTAGTTGGAGCTTGATTTAATTGGCAGAACGTAGTGTAGTTAACCGTTTTCATGCCCCAAAAAGTGGTAAAGAGGAAGATTAAACTGCTAAAGGAAACTGTTCCCAAATCAACAGTTATAGAGACTAGTTTTTCTTTTTGCATTTCATGCTATGCATGAATCTAGATATGTGTTTTTCTTGGACATATGTAGATTCATGCATGTGACAAAATAAAGATATGTATTTTTGTTGAGTATCTAGATTCATGCATGTGACAAAACTTTCTTCTCATTGGCTGATAACCTGAATGATTGATGGATTTGAAACAACACCAGCACAACCTCATCCTGATGCAACCATCAGGGCAGCAGCCTGCATGTCTGAGTGTTGGCAGTCAACTGCAGAAGTTCTTTCAATAGTGTTCTAAAGCACAGCTTGTATGATCATGAGAGAGGAAAAGGCTATGCCTCAGTAATCACAGGGGAATCATGTTTGGAAATTTCACACCCTAGCTAGCTCATTCTGTTGTGTTTTTGGGTGAGAAATGTAACTCTCTCAGGGCTCCTTTCTACCTAGGGGAGGTGGGAAGGCTGCATTGGACTAGCATGCCTGTCCTGAATACACAGTATATGTATGGTGCATGCCAAAACTATGAACAAGGAAGAATGTTATATTTTGCCAACTACTTACCACTTTTTTTTTATGTATGATCAAGTAAAGAATCTGAAAAAAAGGGTCCTCATTACCATATCAAGACAAAAGTATAGGTTACCCTAATTTCTTACTGACTTTTACTTGATTTTAAGTTTTAATTTCATCTGTAAGAGTAAAAAGAGTTCACACTTTACATGATTTTTAAATGTATTTACACTTGCATTTGGCCATTCCTCTGAAATGCTGTTATCCATTTCTTGACTTTGATATTGTTTGTCACTGTCACTTTCCATGGGGATTAAAAGGAATAATAGTTAATATGAATTTAATGATGAAATCAGGTTTTTTTTTACACTTAACCTACGGTTAAACCTACATCATCTTAGTTATCGTTGTCATCACTTTCCAGACCTTGCAAAGCATTATCACCATTATCATCTTGAAGTTTGATTCCTCCCACAACTTCATCCAGCTCTTCAATGTCTCCATCATCAACTTTATCCTCAATCTCCTCAATAACTACATCATCCTCCCCTTCCTGAACAGAACTGAGACTGATCAAATGAAACAAGAATTGCCAGAAAATCATGACAAAGCTTCAGATGAGCTGTTACTTGAGGACACTTAATTGTAAACCTAAAATTGTATCTTTGATATTTTTGGAGAATTTTCCAAGTTCATTATCATAAAAATGCCCTCAAGGGAATTCTCATGGTCATAAAAATAACAGAGTCAATCTTAGGGATTCTGAACACAATCCAAGTCACATTTGGAGTCTATTCTAGTGAGATACCATTTAGACATCAACCAACCAGGTGCAAATATCCCAATAATCATCTGAGTTTAAGATGACACATCAGCACCCAGGTTTCTTAGGGAGACATCAGGCAGAGACTTTTTAATTATTTAGGAAGGGTTTGAAAAGTTCTGAGAACATCATTTTCATGAAAAACATCATTTGAAATCAGTTTTAATATTTAAGTGCAGTGTAAATAAAATCCTAAAGCAGTGTGCAAAGCTGCATCATTTGTAACAATATAAAGGTAATACTAGAATCAAATTACTATACTTCATAGCTGCCACTTTGTCACGCCACACAACATGAATCTCCTAGTAGACATTGGGGTCAGTCTTCTTTGGTCATATTTTGTTTTAGAGATGTCTGCATTGTATCTTGTCTATCTTCTATTCTGAGGGCAGATTGAATCTTAAAACCACAAGTTTTACCTTGCTTTGTGCAGTGAAATACAAAGATAAACGAGATATTTCCGTCACGAAAGAGATTCATCACAAATATCTAAAAGTAGTGAGGTAAAATTTCTGGGACAACTGCACTCCTACCCATTCTTTAACCAAACAACAGTCAACTGATAATAAGTTTGGGTTAGGGGAGGGTAAGTGCTCAGTTGTTTGGATACGGACACTGATCCAAATTTCTCAATAGACCTTGATTAAAACTTCCCAAACCTCTGCTGTGTAATCAAGCAATTTTTTTCTATTAAAGCCTCATAAGCTTCCCAGGTGAAATCAATAAAAGCATGCATTACTGGTTACTGCGATCGCGTGACTGTTTGATTCCCTAGTCACGCGATCAGGATCAGATTCTCCCCAGTGTCTGCTCGTCCAGAATCGATAAATTCCTCAACCAAAATGGTCGTAAACAATTGTGAGATGTTGTTATCCAAATGTGCCCAGTTTAAAGAAGAGGGGCAATTCATTGACGTTCGTCTAAAAGTGGGTGAAGACATCTTTCCAGCTCATCGTATTGTTCTGGCTGCAAATAGCGATTACTTCTATGCCATGTTTACAAATGGAATGAAAGAAGCGAATCAGGAAGAAATCGAGTTAAAAGATGAAAGTATTTCACCTAATGTTTTGAAGATCATAATGGACTCAATCTACACTGGAGAGTTTCAGTTCAACGAAGATAACGTGTTTGAAGTCCTTGCAGCAGCAGATCATCTTCAAGTGACGACTGTTGTTCAAAAGTGTTGTGATTTCTTGCTGACTGAGTTTGTTAAACTTCGCTTTGATTTTGAAACCTACTCGCGTATCTGGGAAATCGCTCACAGCCATGGCCTCAAGAATCTGCAAGACGCTACTGAGAGTGAAATGGCTAAGATGTATAAAGATGTCTGTGAAAGCCAAGAATTTTTGGCTCATATTGGCGGAGACCAGTTACTCAGCCTCCTTAGTCGTGATGACCTCAATGCACATTCAGAGACGTTCGTCTTCAAATCAGTGATGCAGTGGATTAAATACAAGAAGGAGGAGAGGTTGACTGTTGCTGCCAAAGTTATTGGAGCTGTTCGTTTGGGACTGGTGGATATACGAGAGCTAATCGCTGAGCTTGACACGCAAGAAATGCGAATGCTTCCAGAAATAAATACGTTTTTACTTGAGTCGTTCTTGTACAGCTACCACCCTTCAAGTAGCTCCGAGTTCGCTACAAACAAAACAAAACCGAGGTCCATGAAATCGGTAAGGCAAACACCATTGATATTTCTAGTGGAAGGCCTCAAACAGGGCTAACTTGAGCCTATCCTCAGCTGGCTGAGTTCAATAGTCCAAAATTACGACAGCGTTATCGACAATTCAAAAAGAAAGTTGAAATGCAATATTAAACCGGCCTCAACAAGCATAAGCTATCTTTAAAGTGAGAATACTGGGTGGAATAGAGTAGAATGACAGCAAAGAACGAAGCCAGGGAAAACTTCCTTAATTCATAAATGTTTTCACGCTAAAGATCAATCTGCCGGGCAAAATCAGTTATAAAGTATTGCAAGCTACAATGACTATGGATTGAAATCACATTATTCAATTTCAAAAAAGATAGTTGAAACATAACATTCCACATCAATCTCTTCCATAAAGTTTGCTCATAGCGTCACTGGTTAAAAATTTGGCCTGTCCAAATGGGAAATAAGAAACTTTTAGAAAGTACGGAAATGATCTGTGAGATCGATGGTTCGAAGGCTCATGACAACAAATTGACGTCGTTTCTTGGATGGATCCGGGATTTAGTGAAGGAGGGTTTCAGACTAAATGTCCGCCGAAAAAGAACCAATCTAGGGGGTCGGGGGCATGCACCCTCCGGAAAGGCACTTGATGAGATGATTGTAGGTTCTTTTATGCCTTTGAACCGATTTATTTCTGTTTTCAGCTATTTTAATATCCACTACGTTCAATATAGTTTTTCAGTAGTTTCGACCCGAACTATCCAAACCACTCCTTGATCTGCTCCAGCGTTCGTTGTGACAGGAGACTTCATTGGTGTCGTGACTGACGTAAAGTGAAATACACTTTCCTAAATCTCCAATAGCTTGCTCTATCACGTTCACTTAACTCAATCATTTTGGTCTTGACAGGTTCTTGTGGCCATTATTCCTCAAGCCCAGATGCAGTACTTTGATTTTGAAACCAAAAACTGGAAACCTCTACCATCCATGACTCAATTGACTGAGGCAGACGCGTGTTTCTGTGCAGAATATGTTGGTAATCACTTGTATGTAGCGGCACAAAAAGGGAGAGATTTTATTACGTATCATTATGATACAGTTACTGATACCTGGGGGACATTACCACCTATTTTAGGGGGTAATCATAAGATCGATTCCTTATGTTCTATTGGTGATTACATCTACGCAATTAGAGAATCGAAGCCACCCCATAGGTTTAGTTTAAAAACAAATCAATGGCAGTGTATAAAACCATTTCACACCGGAGAAACTTGTCCGAATACATTTTTTGGTAAAGCGTCCGTTGTTTCTCCAGACAACTCAAATTTGTTGGTACTTCAGGGTCAAAGGAAAAAAAATTATAATAAAGACGGGTCTTGCCGCTGGGTGGGGAAATCTGCCGTGATTTTTTGCTTTGATCCCGAAAGGAATGAGTGGAAATGTAAGACATCAACTAAAAGTGTTCATTTTAGATCCTGTCTTTTCTTAGTAAACAGGAAACTATGTATCGCAGGGGGTATAAGTTCTATTGATAGCATTTCTGGCACACCCAGTGGGGAAGGAGCAGCAGTTGAAGTTTATGATGAGCAAAACAACGAATGGACCTATGTTAAACAAAACCGTATTCCAAACAACAATCTCGGTGCGGTTGAAGTAGAAGGGAGGGTGTATTTCATCATCAATAATTTCCCAATTGATAGTGGAATAAGGATTCCACCAGAAGAAGTGTATCCTGTGCCTTTAGATGAATGGGAGAATCTTAGAAAGGTTAATAGTAACACAGTGTTGTGCTACGTACCTGTGAGGAACGAGAGTTTAACAGCAGAGTAATGCTTGTAATTTGAATCAAATTTGCTGTTGTTAACCTTGTCAACTGAAGAATAAATACAACCTAAAGTTAGTCTAACTTGGATGCCGGGGTGTTGTCCAAGCTCAAAAGCCGAATGCTTTTTGCGTTTCATGAATGTCGGTAGAATTCATTCCGATCTAAAAGAAGTAAGGCATCGTCATTTGCCACTGATAGTCCTGGGGCTTTATTTACTTGTTAACAGGGATTATCAACAGATATTTTTCTAATTCACTTTCTGGGTGTCGATGTATCGCTATTTTAAAAAGGAAGCTTTGCCGCTTGTTATGAGTATTTTATTTGAATAATAAAGACGAATAACGTGCCAATTTATTTTTTTTTTCATGTTTAGTCAGAAATAACTGATTTTCTATCCTTCCCAAGGGGCGAGTATTGGGACATCAGTTCATGCCACTCTAACTTACCGGAGAATTACGGTTATGGGACCCCTGTGAGCAAGAGAATTATCTGTAGTAAATCCCTTTTTGACGCACTTTTCATAAGAACACATCTGAATCTTATTCGTATCTATGATCACCTGCAAAAACGGAAAAATAGTCACATTTGTGGTATAACCGCTATGTTCTCAGTTATGGCCAGATTAAGCTTACATCCTATATTTATAACATAAGCACTGGGTTGGAGACCTCTCTCAATAATGCTCGGGTGTAAAATATCTGTCATTAAAGTATTTCTTACCAGCTCTTTCCGAAATATAAACTAATCGGCCTTGAGAGAGTCTTGAACTGTAATTAAAATGCTGACGCTAGCTTCTCGCGATTTTCATCCTAAAGAAAACAAAGTGTATAGGTAATTACAGCAGAATGCAGGGATAACGAGATTTTAAAAAGTCATTCCAGACAAATGATATGACTTAAAATGAGGTGTTGTATGGAGAGAAAATGTAAATGAAGAAGTACGTCTTACGTTTGATGAATTTATCCAATGATTTTAGGATAAAGTTCGATTTAATTACCACATCGACCTTCTTCGGATATACCACTAGTAGTTTTCATTGTAATTGCAAAATTATTATCGTGGAACTTTATGCCCCAATAGAGACCCCGTCATCTAATCGATATCTTTGCAAGTTAATCTTTGTATCGCTGGGCGTATGTCACCAGAACCAGGAAGTGATCGAAATGAAAGACAAAAGCATTTCGCTGGAGATATTCAAGATCGTTATGGACTCCATCTACACTGGTGATCTTCATGTCAACCAGAAGAACGTATTTGAGGTTCTTCTCGCTGCTAGTCAGCTTCAAATGGCAAGTGTTTTTCAACTGTGTTGTGATTTCGTAAAGAAGGAATTCATTGAAAACAGAACTGACCTGAAGAACTACTCCGTGCTGTGTACAGTCGCCGTAAGACTCGGTCTGAGAGATCTGCAAGAGGCCGCAGAGGTCAAGATGGCATCCATGTACAAAGATGTTTGCGAAACTAAAGAATTCCTGACTCAGCAATGGAGATCAACTACTCAGCCGTCTTGGCCGAGACGACCTCAATTCACCCTCCGAAACTTTCGTCTTCAAATCAGCGATGAACTGGATCAGACACAAAGGGGAAGAGAGGATGGCAGTAGCAGGAAAAGTTATCGGAACTGTTCTTCTGGGGCTGGTAGACGTGAAGATTGTGATTGAGAGCTGAAAACAGAAGAAATGCAGCGAGTTTCCAAGGTAAACATGCATTTGCAAGAATCCATGATGCATCATTGTATGCCTTCTCATGAGTTCGCCGCTGAGAAAGTTAAACCTCGATCAATGAGACAGGTGAGTGAACAGAGAAGCTCTATAGATATCTCTGTAGCTGCTTTCCTTAATTTCAACCAAGCTTTTGGTGAGATCTCACTTGATTCTCTACACTACACTCAGTTTAACAAAAACTAGCTCCAAGTTTAATCTGAAATTCCTGGAACATAATTTATATGTTAAGTCGTTGTCCTGATTATATCAGCGACGAGATTCGATAAATATTAATAGAAATCAGTCAATTAATCAGACTCAATCAGGAAAGCAAGTTTCCTGTAATCGATTAAAACTATTTCAGTAAAAATGTAGTGATGAGCAAAAAACCAACCAACTGCGTTATCATATTTTTGGAATCTTAAATTGAATACTTTCTTTGTAATAATAAATTTATAGAATATCATCTGAAAAGAGGAATGTTTAAATGACTGTCTCCTGTTTCAGATACTTGTTGCCTTTCAAACTCGGAGAGTTAGGAAGCTTCGCAAGGCACCTCCAAATACTGATAGCATCGAGTCAGACAGCATCAAGCACGAAGCGTACAGGCTTCTCTCAGTGCAGTGTAAAGCTTATTACTTTAATTTCGAAGCGAAGCTATGGAAACCTTAGCCATCTGTAGCACAATTAGAGAAAAAAACTGGCTCGTGCTTTTGTGTTGAACGCATTGGAAACTACTCATTTTTAACTCGTGATTTGCGCGCATGCGCAAGAGCGAGTTATAGATACGATGTGGGGAATGCCATTCGCTCGCTCACTCGCTCGCTCGATTGGTCGATTCCTGTAAACTTTTTTTAGATTTTAGGCTTTTGAGTGCATTTGATAGTTTTTGGCGAGCAATAAACAGACGAAATGGCGACCTTTGTTGCTAAGAATAGTGGTGGGGTGAAAAAGAAGCCAATGATAATCTTAAAAGAGTTTTTTTTTTTTTCGTTTTAGTTTCAACAAGCGGCGCCAGCGACTGGCAGGCATGCAAGGATTCACGCTGAAATAACAGAACAACCTTCGTTTTTCATAAAATTGTAATTTATAATCCTTGAACTTGAAAACAATCCGAAGATTCATTGAAAATATCACTTACTGCGAAGCGCTCGAAGTTTACAGATGTTCAAAAGCTTTTTCTGTTATGGCGTGAGATTGAGGACAAAATTGATCATTACGTTTCGTCGCGTGTGTTTTTCCTGTGTGAAGCAACAAAAGTGCCGGCGACCGACGAAATAACAAGTTAACACGAAAATCAAATAACACCTAAACAAACAATTTTAGCTACCGATTTTCAGTGAATTTTTAAAGAACAATTTTCTTTTCAGTTTCAAGACAATTTGAAGATTCAACATACATACAACGTACTAAAATGCGAAAGTTACACACCACAAAATAGATAAATAGGCCTGAAATGAAATTCTATCTTGTTATTGATTATACGTTGCCTAGCACGTGACTTAAATCTACCCAGGCGGAGATCCAAAATGACGGTGGCAGGCTTGGCTCAGTTATATCACTCAAAACCCGTTCCCGTTTGTCTCATTTGATAAAGAGGGAATCGTTAATGTTTTCATTAAGACAGTATTGCCTTGATTTTCTAATATTTACAACGAAAGACAGTAAATTTCACTTTTCACCCACATTTACTTCAAACCTTTTCTTTTGAACCAGAAACAAATATGATAGACGTTTAAAACACGTGACATCATCCACCTTGTCAAATGTACTAGCATGATCATTTCAATTGTAATGCCTTCTTATCCCAACGTCACTTTGTTTCTTTGCTACATTAGCGAACACTGAACTACTGCTCGTACTCTAGATATGACAATCAACCACAAAATTCCCTTAACCAGATAACATTAAACATAGTCTAAAAAATCATGTGTCAATTCACGAGTTTGCTCACAGAGCACTTTGATTAGCTGGACAGAATCAGTAAATACATCGGAGTGATGTGATAAATAACTCGTGGGTTAAATTACCAGAATACGGAAACAACCACGAAGTTAACTGCTTGCGTTCTGTTCGTGACTATCAATACGCCATTAGTGAGTCAGATCCTCCTTAAAGGTACAGTTTGACGAATAACAGTTGGCAAGGTAGAGAAGGTTTAAAAGTAGAGGGAAACAAGAAGAAGTTAAGTACTGTATCAGCAATAGTAATGGACTCTAAAATATATTTAATTCATGGTTATAAAATAGGTGAAGAGAGAAACCCCAATTGGGTCGATAAACCGTATGTGGTTCATTGTTTTGGCCCAAAATATAATGTGTGGAAAAAACTCGCGTCAACCTCCCATTCTCATTTTGAATCCAGTATTTTTGTTGTCAATAACAGACTGTGTGGCATGGGGGGAGGGGGTTCGTCGTGGCCCTGCACCTGTGGAAGGATTAAATGAAGGTACTAAAACCTTTTAGTTTGTAGTGCCTCCGAAACATATTCCCCCAAACGGCCTGGGTGCAGTTGAAATAGAGGGGTGGGTGTATTTCATCACTAAGAATTTCCAGTTGACAGTGAGATTAGAATTCCACCTGAGGAAAGGCATCGAGTTGACTTAAGTGGTTGGGGAGATCTAGCTAAAGTAGAAAGAGGAACAAGTTTGTGTTATTTGCCTGTCAAGGTGGAAAACTTGAATGAACCTAGCAGGAAAAAAATTTCATATCATGAATGACGCTGCTACTGAATTTGAGCTTCTCTTAGGTATATGAGACATAAAAGAGAAACTGATCGGTGACTTAATATCAAGACAATTACTGGTTCTGCGAAAAACAGTATTTGTTTTAAGTCCATTTTTGAAACAGTCGGTGGGAAAAGAAGAATGACCTAAGAAAATAACTGATTCCTTTGTCCTTCCTTCTCTCTTCACCGTTATAGCCACTGTTTTTGGCCTTTATCTTTTGCTTTTTGCCCTTTGTCCATCGTATAGTGGGCCTGCTACATTAAATTTCCCCTATCAGTTTAAACGTTTTACTTAAGTGAGTAGTATGGTGAGATGTGTTACCTGTTTTCATACAGTTTTCTGACAAAAGGGCCTATCTGGACCCTTAAATTGACTTTTTATGATCAATTTTTTGGCATTGTTTTTGTAGCATTTTCCTTGTCAATGATTTTTTTTTCACTTTAAGGTGAAGCACACACAGACAAGGTGTCTAGAACTATAGCTGTGTTCGCAGCTGTATAGCAACTGTCTAAATGTCTAAGATTATATGGACAAATAATCTGGTGGTCCCATGTTCCAGATTTCCACCCCGTTAACCATTGTATTCCTTCGATTTCTCGCTTGCCAAGAGTCAGTTCACTCTCCTTGGATGCACTCTGTAAATAACGAACTAGTCTGCTGTATGCCTCTTGGAAAATTCCACCAATTTATTTTTATTGAAAGGTTTGTCCAGTTTCGGTAGATCGTTGAGATCCGTTTTTGTTAAGGCATAACTGAATGTTAAAGTCTAATCCAAGGAACGGGAAGAGGTATTCCTTACTTGGGTGATATCTTTTATGCTTCGTCTTTGTTCTTTGTTGCGTAACACTCTCTGCTGAATCGACAAATCTTCATTTGACCCTTCACTCTCGACTCTGATGAGGTCTTCCTCTAAGACTGT